TTCCCATAACGCTCTTAGAGCTTGGATTCCAAGTGGTTCTCAGCCTTCCTAATGGTCATGTTGTGGTGACCCCCCCCAACCATAAAGTTATTTAGTTGCTACATCCTAACTGTAATTTTTCTACTGTTATGAATTGTAACATAAATATTTGTGATGGTGTTGGGGGAACCATGGGAAAAGGTCATTCGACCTTGAAGGGGGTGGTGACCCACAGGATGAGAACCACTGGCTCGGAAGGTTTTGCTGTCATTCACCATTTTCTCATCAATCTGGTCACCAGTGTCCCTTCAGCTGTAAACAACAACAGCGCTTAATAAGTCACAGCTTCGCCAGGACTCGCTTCAGAACTGTTCTCACATTGGGAAGAGCATTTTCTTCTCAGAGTCCCGGCTTTCAAATCTACCACAGCTGCTCATGTCACCATGAGGCTGTAGGGAGAGGAGGGACATCAGCCCCGTGCTCAGGCCTGTCCTTCAGGCTGATTCCTCCTCATTGCCTCTTCTGCCAGAGCTCTTACTGTAGAGGCTCTACTTCACTCCTCACTGTTTGCATGCCTTCTTCCCAGTCCTGCAGGAGCTCCTGGAGGATGGTGGTCACCTTCATTCAACAAATGTGTTGAGCGATGTCTGCCAAGCCCTGGTCCAGGAACCAGGAAGTTGGCAAGGAAGGGCTAGGACATGTCTCTTCCTCAAGTTTGCCTTTGCACTTATGGAGCTGCTCATAAATCTGGTAGTTAGCTATCAGCATATGCCAATTCACTCCCAAAATGAAACAGAGTAAAAGAAACAGATGTGTACCCCCCCCCACACACATGTTTTCTGAAGAGTCATAGGTATGCAAAGAAAGCCCCAAATTTTCTGCTGTTGGTTTTTATTACTCTTTGACTCTTTTAGGGGGCCCGCCACCCAGCTCCCAAATAAATACATGGAGGCTTTTTCTTACATTTAAATGCCTGGCCTCAGCTTCTCTTGTTTCTTGCTAGCTTTTCTTAATTTATCAGTGTCTACCATTTGCTTCTAGACTTTACCTCTCTATTTCTGTATGTCTTTTCTTTCATTCTTATTCTGAATCTGACTGGATGTCTGGCCCCTTTTCTTTCTCCTCGATCTCTCCTCTCAGACGTTTCCTTCTATTTATTCTTCCTACCAGCTCTGCCTATCCTTTCTCCTGCCTCGATATTGGCCGTTCAGCTTATTAGACCAATCAGGTGTTTCAGACAGGCACAGTAACACAGCTTCACAGAGTTAAACAAATGCAACATAAAAGAATGAAACACATCTTTGCATCATTAAACAAATATTCTGCAGCATAATCAAATGTAACACATCTTAAATTAATATTCCACAACAATTTGCCATCTTTTTCAGATATTTTGCTCAAAAATATGCCACCTCACTTGATCTTAGGAAAAAAAAAGCAAACAATAAAAACATGCTTCTCTATGGTTTGGGGAGATGGCTCAGCCAGTAAAGTACTTGCCACAAAGCATGAGGACCTCAGTTCTGTCCCTTTCAATCCATGTCAGAAGCCAGACTTGACAGCACACACCTGCAGCTCCAGTACAGACAGGGAGACTCCTCCAGCTCACTGGTCTGTCAGTCTAGCCAAATGGGTGAATCCCAGAGTCAGCGAGAGACCTGTCTTATAAAATATAGTAGAGCACCGAGTCAGTCAAAGTTGACCTCTGACACACACACACACACACACACACACACACACACCAGGCCAACAGTAACAAAAGTTCCTTCGTTAGTATTAATTCCTCTTTGGTTCCCTTGCAGTCATATTCTCTAAGCATCTTGTCACGATAGTCATGCTCTGCTTGTCCAACACTGAAGCCCCTATTCTGTTCTATTTGAAATAGTTTCCTTTAGTATAGGATGGGATTGAGGCTTCCTAAAGGAAGCAGACACTCTCAAAGGAAGGTCTAGTTTCCTTGTGTTTGCTGACAAAGGGATCTGTCACAGGCAGGATGCTCACTATTAAGTAGAAGCCTCAGATAAAAGGAAAGGGGCTTTTTTTTTTTGTGTGTGTGGAAAAAAATAGAGTGCTACCACACAATGTGCAACTCGACACCCTCCTGTGAAGAGCTAGCAATATGCATACAAATAGCAAAGGTTAGCCTTGACTTAGCAATATATGTGTCTGTGGTTTTCCCCCTTCTATTCTGTTTTGAGACCCAGGATGGGACACACAGAGCAATACAGCTGGAAGGCCCACCGTGATAATGAGAGTTAACATGTGTGTATAATATCATTAAGTGCTGTGCCTACTGCCCTGGCTCTTCCAGAATGCAGGCTTTTCTCTGTCAAGTGACAATAAGAAAGCTAGTGGCTGTCACCAGAATAGGTAAATGAAGTGTTCCCAGAGCCTACATATTCAGGAGTAAAACCAGTTGGATCCTAGTATAGAAAGTGATAGAAAATTCTAGAAAGAAAATTCCAGGCAAGTTAAAAAGATGTTCTCTGTCCAAATGCTAGTGGAAAACCAGCTTGATTCCCCAAATTTGCTAACATTTAAGGACCAAGGTGAATGATCGTCGACTTTTATTTCTTTGACAATTAGCTTTGCTTTGTGCCTAAAGTTTTACAGTGAGATTATGCAACCATCCTGCTTAGTGTTTTAAAGGCAGTGCTTAAAATAAGATGGAGTATTTGAATGGGAAAATGTTGTCCAAGTCAAAACACCTCTGAGGATCCAGGACTGTTTGGATCCAAAGGCATCAACTGTCACCCACAAATTCTCCATGGCAACAAAACCTGCAGAGGCCAAGAATTAGTAAGGACGCTCAAGAGAGAAAATACAGCTCTTGAAGTTCCTCAAAACCAATGAAACTACCAAGGGGACTGCAAGCGTCTCACCAACTGTAGTTTCTCTTGCCAATCCTTTCCCTCTCAGTTCCTTTCCAGTTAGTGGCACTGGACTATAAAGGGCAGTCCTTCTGGAGGGGCCTGTCAACTCCACGAAGCAGAGACTGAAGTAGAGACATTGTGCTTTGAAAAGAATCTCATATATTGATTCTTATAAATTGTCATAGGAGGGTATCACATTGATTGACAGAGGTTTGTAAGTTTCCTGGTCTCTGTGTGGGCTCTTAAGGACTGCCTTGAAGGACAAACTGAGTTGACAGGTCACCTGAGATCTGATGCAAGGTTTATCACTAACAGTAGCTGCTCTTTGCAGTCCTGAGGATGAGGCCTAGGCCCAGTGTGTGCTAGATAAGCACTTTACCAACCACCCTTTTATTTTCATTCTGAGGCAAGGGCTCACTAAGTTACCCAAACTGGCCTTGAACTTATCATGTAGCCCAGACAATCTTAAATTTGCTGTACTCATGCTCAGCCTCTCAAGTAGCTATATTGACAGGTATAATGATTAATCTACCCCCTACCCCCACCCCAAGACAGAGTTTCTCTGTGTAACCACCTAGCTGTCCTGGAACTTACTCTGTAGACCAGGCTGGTCTGAAACTCATAAAGATCTCCCTGCCCTCTGCCTTCCGAGTGCTGGGATTAAAGGCGTGCACTATCACACCCAGCTATAATGGTTAATCTTAATTGCCAAATTCATCAGGCTTTAGAATCACCATAAAAACACCCCTCTGCGTGAACTCATGAAGGTCTTTCCAGACAAGTTTAGATGCCCATAATCAGATCTACCCTGAATATAGGCAGCATCATCCTATGGGCTGGAATTCAGGTACTGAATAAAAAGGACAAAGTGGGCTAAGCACCACCTTAATCTCTTTCTGTTTCCTGATGTCAGGCTACTGCCACCATACAATATGGATGACATGCTTGAACCAAACAACATCTTCTTTCTTTACTGCTTTTGTCAGGTGTTTTAGCCCAACAACAAGAAAATCAAATAATACACCAAGCCTTTAGTTACCTTACTTTGGATGTGAGCCCACAGATGTGGACACACTGTAAGGCCCATGACCACAATCACCTGGTTATCTCCAGCAGATACTGGTGGCCTAACTGCACAGGATGAGGTTACTATGAGTTTTGGTAAATTTAGACCCAAGTTTGCAAGCTGGTGATTGGATTTGGCTTACAAACCTGATTTGTTTGTGCCCTCTACTGCTTTTAGATTCTCATTAGTTGCCAACATTAAAGATAAGGAGTCCTGCAGCATCTCCTAGCACAATAGTTCACAACCTGTGGGTCACAACCCCCACAGGGTTGCCTATCAGATATTTATATTACGATTCATAACAGTAGAAAATGGCAGTTATGAAGTAGCAATGAAATTATTTTATGGTTGGGGGTCAGCACAACATGAACTGTATTGAAGGGTGGCAGCATTAAGAAGGCTGAGAACCACTGTTCTAGCGTGTCTCAAACATTCTAGGCCTCCCATAACCCTCAGTTTTCCAGGGCAGGTGCAGCAGTCCACAGTCTCCCAGAGCCTTGCGCATGCTCCCACTTGCTCCTAACCACTGCAGTAGTGGAAACTTGCAAGTCCTATTCTTTTAAAGTCATTATGGACATGTGTACATGCATGCACACATGATGCCTATGTGTGGGTGCACATGGCAGTACACTGTGGAGGTCAGAGGGAATATCCATGGAGTCAGTTCTCTCTGTGGGGATTGAGTCCCAGGTATGTACAGCAAGCATATTCATCCATTGAGCCATCTTGTGAGCCCAGCAATTCCTATTTTAACTTTTCTCCATATTCCCTGATTGCGTGAGGCAATGGCGCTTTGGTAAAGAACACACATTAAAGCCCATCTCAGTGTGTTTCTCCTACTCTGAGATGGATTCATGGGGACCACATAAACCTGTTTGCATTATTCATAGAGAGTGCATGGAGAACAAAACACTGAATGGCTCGTGATGGTCCTAGAAAGATCTTGATTGAGATGGTTGTGTTATAGACGTGCAGAAGGGTGTAAACATCTGTATGCAAGAGGGAGGGGTGAGACCTCAAAAGAAAAACAGCCCATGAGGTTGTTTTCAAGTATCGTTTCTGTTCTATTTCTCCTCTTTTAGGTCCGTGTCACAAGCGGCGGGCGGGTGGCTGCTGTACCCAGCTGGGCTCCCTGTCAGCACTGAAGCATGCTGTCCTGGGACTCTACCTTCTGGTTTTCCTGATTCTTGTGGGTATCTTCATCTTAGCAGGTAAGAGCAGCCTTTCTGTGTCTGGGACTTTGGGGATGAGAGAGGAAGACTCATAGCCTCTGCTCCCGCCTCCCACTGCCATAAGCCCAAATGCCTCCCTTGTTGCTACAGAAACCAGAGAGGAAGATGCTGGCCCACCCTGGTGCTATGGAAACCACAGAGAAAGATGATAGCTGGTCTTTCTGAGTAGACACGGTCTTCAGCAGTGCTGCCTGTTTCTGTGTGGAGTGGAGTGGAAGGGAAGGGAAAGCTCCTTGAGGGTGTGGGACCTCTGAAGTCAATAGGACAGATCCAGCTCCCCAGGATGGCTTCCAGCTGTCCCTGCATTATCATGGGATATATGTCTTACACAATGTCTCCCCAACCTCTGGGGTGTGGTGTGTCCCTGAGGTTTTATCAAAATAGTCACATAGTACTTTACTGCTAAGGCTAATCAGTGTTGGGGAAGCCTGCTTCCCTTTGCAGTTAGGAGGTAGAATCCATTCTATCACAACTCTTGGTTCTTCTTATGAGATGGGCCTTTGATGGATGGGATGGGAGGGGGAGCATCCTATATCCAGGGTGAGGCAGAGCTGGCAGATTTAGAAAGGGATGGGGGGGTTGGTACACATTTAATCCCTGCACTTGGGAGGCAGAGCCAGGTGGATCTTAGTGAGTTCAAAGCCAGCTTGATTTAGCTTGATTTACACAGTGAGTTCCAAGACAGCCAAGTTTATATAAAGAGAGATTGTCTCAAAAAAAAAAAAAAAAAAAAAAAAGGAAGAAAAGAAGGAAAGAATGGATGGAAAGAAGAAAGCAGAAAGCTAAGAAAGGGATCTAATGGGAACTGTTGATTTTATGCTGTACATAGCCCAGTTGCTCACCTGCAGGCCATCCCAAAGCCAGCCTCTGGGGGCCTCTTCCTGGCCCGCTCCAGAGGACAGACTGCTCATTTACCATCTTCTCAGGGGAGACATGGACAGTTTGGCAAAGTAGGCCAAAGGAGCCACCTATCACATGAGAACCATCCTTGTGCCAGGCTCTGTGCCAATATTGAGACACAGCTAAATGAGAGCCAGGGGGTTCTCTCAAGGGGTTTCCACTCCAGAGGATCCGGGGCCAGGTGACTGGATGGAGCCCTGTCAAGGAGAATGCAGTGGCCACGGTGCCACTGGAGTGGGGCACTCTGAGAAAGTGGCTGTTTCATGGAAGAGGGTGGGGTTGTTTGGAGTGAGGCTGTGGACCAGGCAGAGCTGACTTGGAGTGCTCAGGGTGGGGTCCTTGAGTTAACCAGAGGGCAAGACTCTGGAGGTTCAGCCCATACAGATGACCCTTTGCTGGAAATCTTGAAATGATGCCCAGGACCTCCCTGATCTTGACTCACTCCCCATCAAGTGGGACAAACCACTTGGGCATTGTAATGGGATAGTTGGTGTAGCCTGCGCCTTCAGGTTTCCATACTCAGGGTAGCAGGGGTGGTGCCTGTCTCACCAAGCACTACACTGAGGGGTGGCCAACAGCAACACAGAGAAACTCATGATTCATCCCAGTGACCAAAGGATGGTGTCCAGCAAGGTCTACCATGGGCCAAGCCAGCCAGGGGATGATTTGAACATGTTCTTGGGATCTAGGTTTTGTGGTTTTGGCTGCCAGGACCATAACAAATTTCTGGAATGTTTGGAAAGTGTCTCAGCCCAGCAGGAAAGCATGGTGTTACAAGTGCTCTGAACAGGAACTTTTAGGTGGCCAGAGGGGGTTTCCAGGAGAGGGACAAGGTTGGCAGGGGACCTGGGATAGGACCTTGGAGGCTAAGGGTAGGGCAGGGAGATATCTCATCTCAAGAGAAATGTGCAGGGGAGGAAAGCCTTCTGATATCTGAAGGGCTGCCACATGGAAAAGGGTAGACACGTTTAACTTGGCTGAGGATGGACCTGTGACCAAAGGGTAGATACTGTGGAGACAGATGTCCCTTCAGAACAGAGAAACAATGCCGTGCAGTGATGCCGTGCAGCGGCACACTGTAAGGCTCTCTCTCTCTCTCTTGGCTCAGTGGTCTCATGGGATTTATGATGACATCCTGGAAGCTTCAGAAAGGAGGGTGGGATGGGGTTTCCCAATCTTGTGAAAATGCTGCCAGGCTTCCTTAGCTGTTCAAGCTGTTCAAACCTGAGCAGGGATTTTTGTTTTGTTTTTTTGGTTATTGCTTTGAGCCTATAAGTTTTGGAGTAATGGATTATTGCCTGGGTACGATGAAAATTTTGATCAGATTGGAACTAATCTCTTGGTTGGGAGGGTGTGGCCATTATCAACTGCCTAGGTTCTTGTCTGGACAGCCATGTTGGCCTGTGGGAGAGGCTTTTTAATAAGGGAAGCCCACCAAAGTACGGGCAGAAGTGGCCACTCCCATTGGAAGGAGAATGCGGTACTGAGTGGCCTCCTTAAGGAGGCCTTCCCAGTCTAAGGAAAAGGGCTCCTTCCTAGCAAAACCACGATGATGGGAAATGGAGGAGGTGGTTCAGGCTTTGGGTTCTCATTGGGAGTGCTTCCTTCACCCCAGGCAGAACTGGCCTTCCATACCTTCCATGATTTCCTGTCTTGTAGCCCAGGCTGATCTGGAATTCACTACATAGCCCAAGCTTGTAAGGAGTATGGGTTTTCCTCCCGCTGCCAGTCTTGTCCCGCCGCTGAGCCAGCCCCAAATAATACACAGAGACTCTGTATTAGATATTATACTGTTGGCCAGTTACTACTTTCTTAGCGGCTAGCTCTGTCTTAAGTATTAACCCATTTGTGTTAATCTATGTATTTCCATGTGGTCTTCTTACCGGGAGCCGGCTGCCGCATACAGCTCTCTCCAGACTCTCCATCTTTGCCCCTCCTTCCTACTTCCTCTTCCTCCTTGTCTCCTAGTCCCTCCTATCTTCCTTTCCTATTGGCCAACAGTGCTTTATGTATTAACCAGTACGAGAAACATATACAGAATGACATCTCCCATCATCTCCTCTTTTCTGTCTAAATAAAAAGAAGGGTTTTAACCTTAACATAGCAAAATATATTATACAACAGTTATCAAGTAAGAATCACAGTTAACAATATTTAGTCCATTAACATTTAGCAAGATTTGAAGAAAATATTCCATCATCTATTCTATCTTTGTGTGTCTAAAGTCTAAATAACTTATCTTTAATCCTAACTAATGAAAACTATAACCATAACCATCTGTCTTCAACTCCTTCAAAGACCACAGAAGGATAATATATAAGCTCTAGAAATGACAGAGACATCTTGCCTTTTCAGTCACCCGAAGTTCTTCTGTAATCTTCCATCTTCAGCCCATAGGCCATAGTGTGTCTGACAGACTCTCCAGTAAAGCAGGAAACTTTAAACTGTCTTCTTGTATTGGCAGTTTGTCAGTCACTTTTCTCCGTGTCCTGCATACTGTCTCGCAGACTCTTCCATGAAGCAGGATCTCTGTAGCAATGTCCATCTTGAATCAGGGGTCACTTTCCTGTGGGTCCTGTATGTCCAGTTTATACATCACAAAGTCAAACAGTCCAGACAAGAGGAGTATCTTGTCCAAATGGCTAGTCTTGACATATTGGAGGCAAACTCCATAACGAGTTTTTTTAATGTCCATCTTCCTTTCTGGTGCAGGTGGTATTGCCAAGAGCAATTATGACTCACTGTCAAGAAAAACCCTAAGCCATTTTAAATGCCATATTCTGTAGGTCTTTGAAAGGTTTGAAGAATGCCTATCTATCTCAAATACATCTCTGTGTATCTTGAAAAACCTAACTAACTTAACTCTAAGCTTTGACTATCATAGGTAATTATCTTGAATCTGTACTAAGTTATACACTACATTTCTAACTGAGCTATATAAACACAATACCTAAGCAAAAGGAGAAATATAAACATCACAAAATTGACCTTAAATTGTATCAATAAATGAAAATCCATTCCAAAACAAAGTAATCATATCAATACCATAATTTCCTTTTTACCTTTAAAAATAATTGGCTGCGATCATTACCCATTTATAACCAAGTCCATTTAAATGAAACCAAACATTTATAAACAATATTTGGGAATTTGGGCGTCGTTCTTCCAAACTACCTCCTGCTGATAGGGGGCACTGCATGGGGATCCTAAGAAGATGTAGAAATCCTGGCTGTAGTCTGTAAGTCTGCCTTGTTCAAGCTGTTTTGAATGTTGGATCATCAGGAACTCTGTTTCAGTGGGTCTGGCTTGCTCAAACCACATTAGTTTGGAAGGAATCCATAGCTTTTTATTTTCTGTGGAAACAAAAATAGAAATCCTTTTCCCCAGTAACTTGTCCTTGAACTTACATTTTTGAGTCAAAGCATTTTTAAAATATATAAATTGAATTAATCCAGCAGCATTTCCTTTATCAGTTGTTGTTATTTTCTCAGCAGTCAAACAATGCAGAGATAACACAACAGCATACAGTAACCAGATTCTCTCTGAGCTTTTCATACTCTGTTTATTTTACTTTTATTTTTTCATTTTTTGAGACATAGTTTCTCTGTGTAACTTTTATCGGTCCTGGACTTCACTCTGCCCACCACAGGTTTACTTGGAATCACAGAGATCTGCTTGCCTCTGTCCCCCGAGTGCTGGGATTAAAGGCCTGTGCTGCCACACCCAGCTGTTATCTGTCTTTTTAAAACCATGTTTTTTTTTTTTGTTGTTGTTGTTGTTTTGTTTTTTCCAAGCCTACGTATTTTTTAAAACACACTGCAAACCTTTAGAGGTTTTTCGTAATATGAATCTGTCTTTACTGTAAATCTTTATCTTTTTCTGGCCATGAGTCTTTATCTGTTAAACAACAACAATGTTAAAATGAAAGTCTTTGTTGTTTCTGTCGAGGTTATCAAAGATGGCAGTGGGTACCTTTACCGCCAGCAATGAAAGCTGTAGTCACTGCCCTGGTCAACCCTGCCATCCACAAGGAATGCTGCCTGCTTGGAGATGTGGTCACTGCCATTGCCATCTCTCAT